GGGTTTTGGTGGAGCAAGAGGGGCCCGTGGCGCTCCTTCTGTCCCTCATGGAGGCGACTGGCATTGCCTTCGATGAGGCCGCCCTCAAACCACACAAAGACAAACTGCAGGTAGGGTTTAGGGTTTAGGGTTTAGGGTTTAGGGTTTAGTGTTTGGGGTTTATTCTTTACGTTGCAGTATATAAAGGTTCGGGTTTATGGTTTGGTGTTTGCGGCATAGTGTCTAGGGTTTAGGTTGTAGACGCATCAAGGGTTTAGGGTTTAGGGTTTAGGGTTTAGGGTTTAGGGTTTGTTGCTCTGGTTTTTCAGGCTGAGCTGCAGCGGCTATCTGCTGCATGTTGTGCTGCTGTTGGCTTCTCCTTTTCTCCCTCCTCCCCGCAGCAAGTGGCAAACCTCCTTTACAACCGTCTAGGTCTTAGGGCCCCTCAGGGGGCCCCCCAGGGGGCCCCCCAGGGGGCCCCTCAAGGGGGCCCCCAGGGGGCCCCTGGGGATGCTTCAGCTAGGGGTTTAGAGGCGGAGAAGGCTCGGCAGCTCAGCACCGATGAAGCGGCGCTGCAGGTAAACCCTAAACCCTTAAGAGGAATCATTGAAACCCAGTAGAAAGGGTTTAGGGTTTAGGGTTTAGGGTTTAGGGTTTGTAGGGTTTGTTGGTTGCAGAGCCTGAAGGACTGCCACCCTGTGGTGCCTCTGCTGCAACGCCACCGCCAAATATGGAAGCTGTACACTACATTCCTCTCCCCCTTAACCCCCGTAAACCCTAAACCCTAAACCCTAAACCCTAAACACTTTGAACCTAAACCCTAAACCCTAGATTCATTGCCGTCCAGACCCCTTTGTGCGTTTGAAGGCATAGAGCGCCAACTGCGAGCTGAGGGTTTGGGTTTAGGGTTCAGGTTTAGGGTTTAGGCTTAGTCGTAGGGTTTAGGGTTTAGGGTTTGGCTTAGAGCTAGTGTTTGGGGTTTAGGGTTTAGGGTTTGTGTGTTTCTTCAGCTCCTCCCCAGCTCAGAGACGGTCCTCGCCGAGGGCCCCGTTGCGTTTTCTGTGCCGCCAGGGGCCCCCGGGGGGCCCCCCAGGGCCCCCAAGAAGCCGAAGGAGGCGAGTCGAGGGTTTAGGACCCCCTGGGCGTCTGCGCTATCCCCTGAACAAGCAGAGCTGCCTCGGTAAACCCTAAACCCTAAACCCTAAACCCTAAACCCTGATGTCCGTGTCGTGTGGCTTATATTACTAACCAAACGGTTATATTTGTGTATAACTTTCTAGGGTTTATTCGTCAAGCATTAGGGTTTAGGGTTTAGGGTTTAGGGTATAGGGTTTAGGGTGTGGTGTGTGTAGGGTTTACTGCCGCTGGAACCAAACGCGGACGGTGACGGGGCGTTTGTCTTCTTCGAGCTGCAACATGCAGACGATACCGAAGGAGGCTGAGATTGTGTTGGGGTGTACAGACAGCTCACGGGGAGAGGAAGTGCTGCTGCTCAACTGCAGAGAGGCATTCAAACCCTCAGACCCAAACACACAAATATTCATCTCCGCTGACTTCGCCCAAATAGAAATGAGAGTACTCGTCAGTTCACGCTCTAGGGTTTAGGGTTTAGGGTTTAGGGTTTAGGGTTTAGATGGGGGGAGGGTTGCTGAACGGGTTGATTGTCCTTGTGCGTGTTTCGTCTTTATTTTCTACGATCTGTATATATATGTTTCAAGTCTGAGGGTTTAGGGTTTAGGGTTTAGGGTTTAGGGTTTGTGTTGCAGGCTCACTTCTGTGTGGAGGGGCGTTTAAGGGGTTTGTTTAGCGAGGGTTTGGGCGATATATATCGACTGCTGGCGGCGGAGTTTTTCGGCTGTGACGTTGCTGCGGTGTCTGATGAGCTCAGAGACAACGTGGGGGGTTTAGGTTTCTCTTTATTGTCACTTTTATTTTTTTATTTTTATTTTTATTTTTATTTTTATTTACTTATTTTGGTGGGGCGGCTGTTTCGTGTTTCGTTGGTTTACATTGGTTTGGTTGTTGTTTTTCCTTTGCTCATTGTTTTTCTGTCTGTTGTTTTTGTTTTTTCTTTGTGTGTTTTTTGTTTTGTTTGTTTTGTTTGTTTTGTTTATTTTTTATTTATTTTGTTGTTTATTTGTTGTTTATTTTGTTGTGTTTCTGGTTGATAGCTCTCCCTGTATTTGCATATCTACGAATTCACATTTTTATATTTCGTGCATTTGAGTTTATTTCAGCGCGTTTTTCGTTTATATTTTAAACTAAATATATAATTTTAATTAATTTTAAACAAAATATATTTATTTTTTCTGCAGACGAAGACAGTTTGTTTGTCCTTGTTGTATGGGGGGGGCCTGCTGCCGGTGGTTCAGAGCCTCTCGCTGACCCCCGAGGCCGCACAAAAAATTAAATTACAATTTGCGGCGAAATTTCCCGAAATTTCGGAATTTATTAAACAAATTAAAAATCAAATACAAACACAGGGATTCGTAAACACTATTTCAGGTTCGATACATGTTTCACAGGGTTTAGGGTTTAGGGTTTAGGGTTTAGGGTTTCAGGTGGATATTGTAGAGTGGGGATTGCGTCGTTGTCGTGGGGTTTACGCTGTAATTTAGGTTCTAGGGTTTAGGGTTTAGGGTTTAGGGTTTAGGGTTTGCGTGGTTTCAGGTCGGCGTCGATACATAAGCTTGGAGTGTACAGACACCGCAGCAATTCAACGCCAAGCAGTAAATTATATAATCCAAGGCAGCGCCAGCGACATCATTAAACAGGCCATGCTGAATGTGCAGCGCACCCTGCAAACGAGGCAAGCTAGGGTTTAGGGTTTAGGGTTTAGGGTTTAGGGTTTAGGGTTTGCGGCAAGGTGTGTGTGTGTGTGTCCAAAGAAGCAAACACATCAAACACATTATTGAAATTAAACACATATAAAGAAGGAAAAACCAAATGCACCATACAACTCTACCGCTGCTGCTGCTGCTGCTGCTGCTGCTGCTGCTGCTGCTGCTGTTTGTTGAGTTCAGCTGCAGCAGCGCAACCCTGTTGCTGTCTCTTCACGACGAGTTATTGGTAGAATGCGAGCAAAAAGAAAAACAAAAAATAAAAAAAATAATAAAAGAAGAAATGGAAAACGCAGTTAAATTGAATGTACCTTTGATTGCCGTCGTTAAGACGGGAAAGAGCTGGGGACAAATGAGAGAAGAAACAGATTCTTTTTAGTTTTTTTTTTTATTTTTTTATTTTTTTTATTTTTTCTTTTTCTTTTTGTTTCTTTCTTTCGTTTTGTTTTTCTTTCTTTTTCTGCTTTTTGTTTTTTCTCTTTTTTTATTTCTGTTTTTCTTGCTTTTGTTCTCTTTATTGTTGTTGTTATTTGTATTGTGTTTTTCGCGGCTCTTCGTTTTTACTTTTTGTTTTTGTTGCAGCTAATAGGATAAACAAAAACGATAAATAAGATGAAAATAAGCAAAGAAAAGAAAAGAAAAAGAAAACAAATAAAAAAACAAAAAAAAATAAATGCAACAATCCCTTTTCTTCATTTATTTGCTGCTGTTGTTATTTGTTTTTATATTATTTTATATTTATTTGTTTGATTTGCTATTTTATTATTTATTTTAATTTATTTTGCTTGCCTTCCCTCTTTTTTTATTTATTTATTTTCTCTTGTTTGTTTTCCGTTTAATTAAACAATACAAAAACAAAATACCTTCGCTCTATTTATTTATTTGTTTATTTTTGTTTTTTTTGTTTTATAATAATAAATATAAACTGAGATAATAAACTGACAGCCGAAACATTCTCCATAGATAATTTTATAGAAACAAATGGAGACAAACCAAGCAACAATAAAAATAAATAAATAAAAAAATAGATAAATAAATAAATAAACAAATAAATAAACAAGTAAATGAATAAAACAATAAACAAACAAACAAATAAAAATGAATAAATAAATAAATAAATAAATAAATAAATAAATAAATAAATAAATAAATAAATAAATAAATAAATAAATAAATGTTATTAAAAGGAGTAAAAAGAAGTTTGTAGAGCGAATTGTTTTTTCGCTGATAAACAAAAAAATGAAATTCGACGAAATAAAAAAACCGTTTATTTTTTATTTACTATAAAATAATAAAACAAATTATTTATTTATTTATTTATTTGTTTATCATAAAATAATAAAAAAATTAATTTTTTATTTGTATATTATAAAATAAAAAAAATATTAACTATCTGTTTTATTTCCTTATAAAATATTCAAAAAAATTGATTATATTATATTTTTTATTTATTATAAAATAAGAAAAGAATTAATTATATCATTTGTTTGTTTAGTGTTATAAACAATAAAACAATTAATTAACTATTATAAAATTAATTTATTTATTTATTTTATTTTGTGTATTTTTGTTTATAATTTTTGTTGTTTTTTTGTTATCTGTTGCGTTCGTTTTAATATTATAATGTGTATAGAAGTTTAAATTTGTTGTTTTTTTTTGTTTTTCCGTTTTGTTTATTTTTTCTTCCGCAGCTGTATTTTCTTTTTTGTCTATTTCTTCTTTTTTGTCTGTTTCTTTTTTAAAATATTTTTCTTTTTTTAATTCTATTTCTTCTCTGTTTTCTGCTTCTATTTCACATACAGAAGAAACACATGTAGAGACAGCTGAGCCCCCCACCAACGCAAACTCAGCGGAGCGACGCTGCAGCATCAAACTGCGAAGACGCTCAGCCTGAATACATAAATAAATTAATAAATAAATAAATAAATTAATAAATAAATAAATAGATTAATAAATAAATATATTATTAAATAAATAAATAAATGAATAAATAAAACTAATTAGAATAAATTAATTAAAAGGAGTTGATTAAAATAAATAAATAATATGCAAATGATAAGTAAATTAAAAATAAATAAATACATAAATATGTATTAAGTAAACATATTTTTAGCACCTTTTAGTGATAATATAATAAATTCAAATAAATAATTATAATATAAATATAAATATAAACAAAAC